TTATATACATATATAAGCTTATATATATATATATACAGCTTATATATATATATGTATATAAGCATTTATAAATAAAAATTAAAAATAATTTTTTAAACCACATTTAATGAAACTAAATTAGAGAAAAATTGTGATCGCCAAAAGTTAAGACCAATGAATTATACAGTTAAGACACCTTAAACTGTAAAGTTTCTGAGAAATTAAAAAAAAGCACAATTTCTAAAAATCAAAGAAATTTATAAAAATTCCAAGGAAAGTTATTCAAAAGAACCTGAAAAAGAAAAAATTTAAAAGCATAATGAAAGAGTTCCGGATGTTTCTTTGCGTAGAAGAGTTAAGTTTCAGTTTTGAACTATTTGTAAGCTTAAAAACTTTGTGGCTAAATTCAAATGATATTTCCTCAAATTGTACTCAATCAAAAAAAAAAAAAAAAAAAAAAAAAAAAAAAAAATCTCACTCATAATTTCAAGTTATAACAAACTTGTTTGTAAATTACAGTCCCCAATTTATAAATGTGGTTTCTTTCGAGGGGATTTAATTAATTGACTATGTCAACCTTCATTTATCAAAAGGTACCTCATAATATAATCAAGTTAACATGTTTTATATACTAGTGAGTTGGTATTTAATATTTATAGTGGTAGTTACGCCATACTTTCTTGAAATGAACTTTAACAAAAGATTTAATATCGCCAACGAAAATCTTAAAATGTCTTAAAAAAGATAATTTGTTAAGCGAATCCAGATTGAAATATTTGTGTTCTACGTGTCATAAAAAAAATTACCATTCCTTATTGTATAAAGAAGACACTTATGAGTTTACTGACGCCACCAATCTCAATTGCATCACTATGAAGGAATTGTCAGAAACTGCTAGTGGTACAAATGAACAATCAAATTTTCAAGACAAAAGAACGAAAACAACGGTGGAATTTTGTGCATGCCATTCTAAGTAATAAGATGAATTACGTACACGAGAATTCATTGAATCATATAGGTTCTGAATGTAAGAGATTCTTGGAGAATGGCACCCCATATGGCTTAGACTTGACGCCAAATTTCAATCTTATTTTGTGTCTCACTTGTACCCCAAAAATCGTCGACTAATGAAATTCAACAAATGTTCAAGAGGCCATGGAAGAAAAAACCTTGTTATGCATTGTAGAAGGCTTTTACAATCATAAAAACATGTGCTTAGGTATTATCTTGCAGCAATACATACAGCAATCTGAATACATCGAAGAATGGGTAGAACCTCTGCCTCCTGGGAGCTGAGAAACGCCTCCCAATGCAGCACCAATACAGAGCATGCAATTGCATTTTATTTTGAAGGCATGTTTAATTACAATTAAATTAAAATTGCTGGATCAAAACCATCTGAAACACAAACAATCAACTTCCCTCCCCTTGGCCACGGTAAAATTTTCAAGCATTGACCGGACCGAGGCTTTAAATAACTTAGCCATGGGATACAATATTAATTATTCTAATGGCTATAATTAATTTAGACATCACTGAAGATAAATTTCCTAGTATAACCAAGTCAATTTTTTTTAACAGAAATTTATAAATATACATTTTGAAGGTAGTTTTTATTGAAAGAAAACTTTTTTATTTTAACAGAACTCAACAAGAAACTCTCATTTGAAAAAAATTGTGTTGCATTCTCAGCACAAGTTGATATACCACCAGTAACTTTAAAACTAAATTTTTACTAGAAAGCGTGTTTCTTTCTCCTTAGCTTAATAAATTCAATTTCCAACCAGTTTGTTTAAAGTTCTCTAATCATCGGCCTAACCCACGGGATGCTTTCGTGGTTTTTTTTCCTTGTAACGCAAATACACGTTAATTTCATAGAAAAAGTTTTACATGAAGGAAATTTACCCCCCTGGAATTACTTTCATTTTGTCCTGTATGAGTTCAAAGATTTTTGGATACAATCCTAGATACCAAAGATACAATCCTTACATTAAGGACAGCAGAATTCACCATATGAAACTTCTGTTCGACATGTAATTATAAGGTAAAATTTCTACTGGAATATCGAGAAGTTTAAGAGATTATAATAAGGTACACCTAATTGCACGTGAATTACGCTTATACATATCGAATGATTGAAAATCGTACTCTGATAATTAAAAAATTTCATTTAAAATACCATCAGTTTGATAAAAAAAATTTTTTTTTAAAAAATCCTATGTTTAACTGAAGAAGATAAATGCTATTAAAAGTTTAAATAAATCAACTGAAAAACTTATTACGAAGTTCACTATTAACAGATGTTTGCACTTCATAGCAAAGTTTTTTATAAACCATTTTAAGTACAAGCAGACATTCCACATTTCTTTCAAAAAACTTTTTTTTCAAAATTTTGATTTAGAAAAAAATCTGAAAATAAAAACATATTTTAATTTATATAGACGAGCAAAAAGTTTTCTTAGAAAGACATTTTGTAAAATATTTGTTCGAAAGAAAATTGTAAAATTTTAATATTGTTTTTCATGAATATTATGATACCCGATCGGATAATAAATTCAACCTTTACCGCATACCTGGAACCGGTACGGATAACATATTTTTTTTTTGTATACCCGAAATCGGTTGGGTAAAATATTTAATTTTCTCCTTGCACTAGGTCAAACTTTACTGAGTAATATAATTACTGAGAAAATCCTTGAATGCTTTAACACCTAACCCAATTAATTGCTATGTTTAAGAAACGGAAGTTGCTTTTAATGTGGTAAACAATAAGGAAAAATATATTTTAAAAAGTAACTTTCTTGCATATTCAAGGTCAAGAACAGCACGTTTGAGTATAAATTTCACTCTGTAATAGCATTTGGTTAATTATTATAACTTTATAATAATTGTGTACCGTAATTAACCTCATTACAAATCACTGTAATTATACAAATTAAGCATCCCTTCTTTTTAATGTGTAATAATGACACTAAGAAATTAGATAAACTACCTATTTTTTATGTGCTACCCATGATATTTACATTTATAAAACTTCGGCTTTCAGCAATTTTATTCTGTAAAATGTGACTTACTTCGTTCAAAAAGTTGTTGTTTATGATTGAGAATTCCGAAACACGTGATTGAAGAAGAAAGATAAATTAGCTGTTTCAAATTTTTTATCATAGCGATTCGGCGAAGTTCATCAGAAATTAAAGAACTAAGAACTAAAATTGTCGAATAGGAGAGGACCGTAGATTGTAAACTCAAGATGGCGTATTTTTCTCTATTTAATCCTCTCTTGAAAACAGTATCGAAGGAAGCATTTGTGCTTTGGTAGTTTGCTCCTGTTACTTGGGACTGCCTTGGCATGTAACAGGCTGTAGTGCCTTGAAAGAAGAAGTTTGCTCTTAAGAAAAATTTCTTGAAGTCCGATTGTGTAGCATCTAGCAGCTTGTTTCGCATTTATGTTCTTTGACTCATTAAACTGCTGTTGTTATTGCTTATTGTCATTGTCAATAAGCAATATTATTCAGTTGTGCGTGACCATAGGGGTAAAGGAATTAAAAATTTCTAAATTACCCCACAATACTAACTAATACAACAAGAATAAACCAGAGTGGTTCAGTCTAGAAAATACATACCAAAAATTATCTCCAAACTAGAGGATATATGTACAACTGATAAGCTGAAATCCTAAAAATTTATGTAAAATGAGAACATTTACAATCACCAAAAGTGTAATGAAATATCTTTCAATACTTTGTATTTTTTCTAGACCATAAAAACGCTAGTAAAAGAATGTAAAATTAAATGCATTATTTACTTTCTCAACCTCTCCCTCAAATCCAAACGATATCTGATGTGGTGGCTTTGAACCACCCAGTTAATAACGAAAAACTGAGATAATTCATATTTTTCAACTATATACCTAGTTAGTATGCATTGGATTAATAATGATATATTAAAATTTTGCACTTTTTTGAACCATTAATTAAGCATCATAAACTATAATATATCAATTATACCCAATTTTAAGAAGAATTAAAATTTTTGAAAAAAATGTACAATTTTGTTAGTTTTTATAAATTATGAGAGTGCGATGCTATACCGGAAAATATCAACCTATTTTAAAGTTTTTTTTAATATCATTTTTCTTCCTTTTACGTAGACATCTTTTCCTCACTATTTTTTTTTGTCGTTTAGCAGTGGGGGTGCGATTGTTCCTGTTTTTCAGCGGCGCCATCTATGGCCAGGAATTCGACGTCTGCCACGCCATTCACACAACCACAACCCGTTTATAGGGCGGGTCGCATTCACACACAAAGGAGAAAGGACATATAACACACACATAGAGAAAGAAACATCCATGCCTTGCCCGGGATTCGAACCCAGGACCTTTCTGATGCAAGGACAGTTCCCTGCCCCCTACACAGGCCGGTTGGCTTTCATCACTATAAAGTTTTAAAAATAAAATTTTTTATTTTTTGGCTTGATTTATTGTATTCCGGAAAAATAATATTTTTGCAATTTATAAGAATTAATTAAGATGGAAAACATCTTGTTAAAAATAAGTACATATTCAGGCGTGGACCATTCCGATGCATGCAATTAGCCGGTTTCCTTACAATGATGCTTTTCAAAGGTTAATTGGTATTGTCCGGTATTCCCCAATGTCTTTCCTCCTATAAAATTAAGTATCATAAGTATCGGGTATTTTTTTCTGATTAGCCGTCGAGCTCAAGACGAGTCTCACCTCAAATGTATGTCACTATTTCGACATTCACAGTTTTGCCCAGCTCACTCGGTTACGATTTTGTCATTCAAATTTTCTGTATCGAACCAAAATTACTCAAAATATTTGTTTCTAATGACACTAGGATAAGAAAAAGTTCGCCAGACACTGGCTTTTTGTGAATTATGTCAGGAAGGTTCATTTTTCGCTTGGCAAGAGAGCATCACAGGGGTGAAAGTACTCCTTAGTTCAGAATCCAACAGATAGATAGCAGCACCATTCATTCATGAGGCCACTTCCTCAATTTAGATATAGGATTTGAAGGGGAAAGAAATTTTCACTAAATTTTCACTACGACGCATCACAAGACTTTCAATTCTAAAGATTTTACAGAGCACGTATGTCGCATGAACTCGGTGGGTCCTAGCAAATCCGAGTAGTAAATTTATGTAGTTTAAAAAAAATTTAATTTCATGAAACTCTACTTATTTTTGTTGGAAAAAGGTGTAGAACGCATGAGTAATCCGTACTAATTTACGCATGACACTAAAATTTCTTTATTTTCAATTTTTGCTTAGGTAGTAAATTGCGAGTAGTAAATTCATGTAGTTGCAAAGAAACTTAATTTCATGACACTCTACTTACTCTTGTTGGAAAAAGGTGTAGAAGCGTATGAGCAATCCGTACTCATTTACGCATGACACTAAAATTTCTTTATTTTCAATTTTTGCTTAAAATGTAGAAAGGAAACGAAAAAGATAGGAAACAAATCATACAAGGAAAAATTTTAAATTTAAAATAAAATTAGGAAATAAATATTGAGAAAAATTTCTTCAGGAAGTTTCAAATTCCTCAAAAGGCATCGAATTTTGAATTTTGTGTTATATAAGTTCCATCTTTTATTCAAATTTAATCCGAAAATCCTCCATACAAGAATAAAATTTTAAATTAAATAAAAAAAAGGGGAGCGGAAGTTGTGATTTTCTGAGGCGAACATGTCACACGACATTTTGTGTTTTTCACTCGCTTATTTTTTGTTTTGACTAGGGAGGATGGGTACAATTGAACAGTTTCAGAAAGAACATCATATATACTTTTTTTATTCAAGGTTTCAGCTAAATGTGATCTAATGAGTAGATCTTATTAACCCTAAATTCAATAACATGCTCTAATGGATACACGTAAGAGGAAAAATCCGTAAAAATGATATAAGCACAGCATATATAAGAGTAGCTTATATAATATTTTTAGGCTTTGAAGCACATCTATGTGCTAGAATTATTTTCAATATGTTCCGCAATTTAGGTAAGCACCGTTTACATTACATTTTGAAAATTTTAACGACGGATATTTTAAAATAATATTTCAATGATTTAATTAATATGCTTTATATATTATATAATTATACTTTTACAGGTTAAAAATTACTGAATATAGTTCTTTCCTTTGTTTTTCATTCTTTGGAATTCCTAAGGTTACAGGATTGTCCATAAGGAATAATCTGAAAGGCCGAAATGAAGTCTGTCAGACTGGCTTTCTCATCCTGCGAATATGATCGCTTTTCGAATCAACTGCTAGAGATGATATCAGCTCAGCCCGAGCCCGTTTCTGAAAGTTTTCAGGCTCGAGCGGTCTCGGGCTCGACTCACGCTAAGCGAAGCGGGCTCGGACTCACGCTAAAATGTTCATAATTTTTTTACTGTTTTTAAACAAACATTTTTTACAGTTATTAAGTATAAAAAATATAAAATTTATTAATTAAGTGCGATAAAAATATTTTAATTACTAATTTCCTTGTTTAGGCAACAAGTGCCTAATATTGAAACTGCAAAATTTGGCCTTTACCCGAAGTATATCTCGGGCAGGCTCGATCATAAAGTAATCCTTCGTATATTGGGCTCGGTTAGGCTCGGATTAAAATTCTTCCGTCTAGGTCGGGTTCTAACCTCCAAACGCGGACACGAGCTCAACTCTCTCAACTGCGCTGCGATTGCACTCCTATAAAATTATTTTAAACTTAATTATTAAAGAATTATTATAAATCATTAAAGAATTCAGTGTTTTAAGACATTTTTATATCAATTTCCAAATATTTGCACTATCAAATGAGTTCATGGTTCAGTTTTCGAGCTCATCTCTATCAACTGCGCTGCGATTGCACTCCTATAAAATTATTTTAAAATTAATTATTAATGAATTATTATAAATTATTAAAGAATGCGGTGTTTTAAGACATTTTTATATCAATTTCCAAATATTTGCAGTATGAAATGAGTTTATGGTTCAGTTTTCGAGCTCATCTCTATCAACTGTGCTGCGATTGCACTCCTTTAAAATTATTTTAAAATTAATTATTAAAGAATTATTATGAATTATTAAAGAATGTAGTGTTTTAAGACATTTTTATATCAATTTCCAAATATTTGCAGTATGAAATGAGTTTATGGTTCAGTTTTATTTATGATAGAAGAACATCAGGAATTCCTCTCAAGTTTGCTCTACGACTCTTATTTTTTTATTATACAGTCATACTAAATTTAATTTTTTTCCAACATTACTATTTATACAGTGCGCAACGAAGAAGAATATCGACCTGAATAACTTTTGTCTAATTATTGGATTTTTCACAAAATAAATGCGAATCTTAACGGTGCAAAGGGGTGACATCAAAAATGCTAATTAATTAACGTAAGTGATACTTTAAGCTACAAACTCAAACACAAAAGCGTACATTTTATGTGCATATAAACAATTTTCTCAACGAATTCGGATTATTGAACATTGAAATGTGATAAGTAGCTGCAATCTGAAAAGTATGGTACCAAAATAGTTTAGTCAGGAGAGCGGTTAAAAGTTTAGTATTAGCTGTACAGTCGGCAAAAAAAAAAATATATATATCAACCTGAATAACTTTTGTTCTAATCATCGGATTTTCACGTACTAAGCGTCAATCTTAATGATTCCTGGGGGTGACCTCAAATATGCGAATTGTTGAGTGCTAACCATTAATTAAGTTACGAAATCGGACACAAAAACGTACTTTCTCTGAATAAACATATATAGATATTTTACATATTTGGATTTTTAATCTTCAATATATAAGGGGCAGCCGCAATCTGGGAAATATGGTCCCCATAGTTTGATCAGGAGAACGATTCAAAGTTTGGACCTCTTAATGTTAATTTCACTTTTTGCATTTTTTGCCATATTTTTAAAACTTAAGCAATTTAAAAAAAATTGCACCCACTCATAATTTACCAAAGATAATTTCCTCCAAAAAATTGTTTTTAATGATTATTTATTATTTTCTATTATTTAATTAAATTGAGGATGAAAAAATGTTTAATTATAAGGTATGAATTTTTTTATCATATTAATCTACTTATCTCTCTATTGAGAAATTTAAAGTTCAAACTATTCTTATTTAGTAGAAGCTGAGAAAAATTAAAATTAAGTATTTAAAAAAATAATTTGGTGAAAATGAAGAAATATTTTAATTGGGCGATTGATATTAAAATGTGGTTAACTTACGAGGAACTTGACTTACTCGCGCATTGTGTAAAATTTCAATTAAAATATTTTTCGCTAACAGTCGATTGCTAAACTTTTTTTTTATTTCTTCAAATTATAAAATATGAGGTTTCTTTTTTAGTCGACTAAAATTTTATTTGTAATTTAGTAAAGAAGTTTCAATAAAACATTTTATTGAATAAAAACATTTTATTCAACGAATTTCGAGTTTTATAAAAGCATGCTTCTGATAGAATATGAATATACATCAGATTGTGCTTGGATTTAACGTGATAATATTTTATTTTTCAGTTTTTTTTCAATATTTGATATAATTTCAATAATATACATACGTATGCTTAGATTTGGAATAATATATTTATCAATTTCTTCAATATATGTTTTATTATCATTTACGAATACGTAGTCAACTTTTATAAGCATCTTAAAATTTCTCAACATCTTATATGTCGTCTTAATCTTAAAATAAATTTTTTAATCACCTGTCCGCGTGCTTGTTTCGCAGAACTATTTTACCAACTATTTAATTAAATTTTAACATTTTTAAAAATCTTATATTTTTTACGCTACCACGTGTATTATTTTTTCATTAATATACTAATCATTTTTTTACTACAGTAATTATTCAGATTTTCCTTAAAAGTAAAGTTCCTTTTTTAAATTATTGTCAATTTTTTATTAAAAGAAAACTTAGAATTATTGCCTGCTAGCTAAAAGTAAGACCTTGTTAAGAAATTAAAAAATTCTGCTGTTTAAAATTGTTTGATGCAAAACAGCTGATTATTTACTAAGCATACTCGAAAAATAGAGATAAATTATTGTCTTTTTTTTTCGTGTGACTTTAACATAGATGATCTAAAATAGTGTTGATGTTTTACAAGTCACTGCACGGAGTATAAAGATACAGAACATAAAGAGCTTTCGTTAGCCAAAATTTTTAAGCTGCTTAAAATATTTCAGTATCTTAAATGTCTTCTTAACAATTTAATTGTGAAATTAAACTTTTAATTACCTACCCACGTGTGATTCACAGAACTATCCAACTAATTATTTCATTATATCTTTAAATCTCCCTTTATGCTACTACGTATATTTTCCCCCCGATAATAAATTATTTTGTTTAATTTTTATTGGTACTTAAGTTTTCCTTAAATTAACACTCGCTGTAAGTAATTGCTAATTTTTTTTCGTGTCTCAAAACTATGGCCAGTTAGCGGATAAGATTTTTAAAAAAAAAATTTCTATGTAAAAATTACTCAGTGCTAAGTGTTTCAATGATCGTAGTAAATAACTGCACACTTTTTCTCTAAGATTGAACAAATAAATAATTTATTTATTTGCTTTATTAATTCTTATTTGCTTAGTTTTGTGAAAAGTAAATACATATTAGAGCAACTCAAAAAACGGCAACTGTTTGCTTTGTTTTTTAAATGAACAAATTCTAACCGCGTAAATAACTGCACACCTTTTCTCTAAGATTAAACAAATAAATAATTTATTTATTTGCTTTATCATTTATTATTTGCTTAGTTTCGTGAAAAGTAAATGCATATTAGAGCAACTCAAAAAACCGCAACTGTTTGCTTTGTTTTTTAAATGAACAAATTCTAACCGCGATTTTATTCTGACATTTAAAATTACATATTACGCAGTTAATTTTAAGAAAAAGATCTATTTTTTTTAAAAAAAAAACATGTTGAAAAAATTTACTTTTGTTAAAATTATTTTTCAACTTTAGTATGATTCCCAAGATATTATTATAGCGTAATTTGTTAATAGGAAAATCACTTATTTTTTTAAACAGCAATTACTAAGATTTAATATTTATAAAAAAAAATCCGAAGCCGTGCCAATTTAGGAATCATCATCTGATTTTTTAAAAAAATGCAATAAAAAATACGCAATTTTTGAACTTATTTTGATTAAAAAAAAAAAAAAAAATACGTGACAAGAAGGTTAACATACTTTTTACAGAAACTGTGAAAACCAATTTTTCCTTTATTCCGTCATAAAAGAATAAGAATTATATTGCTCCAAAGAACCTACTCAATAATTTCGTTATTTCTAGAATTGTCCTTAAAGCAAAAACGAGAAAAATTTAACTATTATTATTTATCTGAGCTTATTCCATTTCTATAATGATAGCGGTATCAAAGTTAAGGATATACGATGGAAGCCCCATTTACTATTATACTATAAATGCATTAAATCATATAGCTTGAATAATTTATTTTAAGCAAGTTATTTAATAATTTAAAACAAATAAGGGTGTAAAAATAAACTCAATCGAAATATGCCTGAAGTATACCCCAAAATGTATGTAGAATAAACTTTGGAAACGATAAATAAAAAATACCTTTTTAAACAACTTCGAGTAAGAAGGAAGCGTTAACTTGTTTAAAATAGTTGTCTTTGAACAATTTCATTTCGATTCCTGGTGCTAGGGGACATTCCATTTTCACATTCTACTTTCGAAATTTCAATCGTAAACATAAACACTTAACACTCAACAATTCCATGAGTTATAGAAAAAAGAAATATTGTAAATTATATAAAACCTTGTAAATGTGCATTAAAATTACTATATCTATATTTTATTTTCCTGGCTCCTTTTTTTTTTGTTTCTTCAAACTTTCTTGCCCAGAAGACTCGATTAAAGCTGTAAAAGTGATTATCCCTAAAATTTCGTTCATAATAAATGTAATTTTGTTTGTAATAAATTTTGTTTTTCCCTATAATTTTCGAAATTTTATCTAAACGGTTAATTGGATGGACTAACTGCTGCCGGTTATTTCACCATAACTTTAGTGTAATTCTAACAGTGCACATGAAACCCTTATTACTTCTTAACTATTAGTTCTATCAAAACAATATTAATTCTATTCATTTCATTCGAATCAGCATAAAAAAAACTTCAAAACAACACCAAAATTTTCCAAATATCCTTTTATCCCTGTCCTCGCTTCCGCATAACTTTCGGAGATACAATATAAAATACACCATTAACTCGAAATTATGTTCATATCATGTACTCACAAAAGTGAAGATTTTATTGTTTTTGTGAAAAATTATGATACATTTTTACTTTATATCGCTCCACTATTTTAAGTACGTCAAAGTAATTTCATGCTGATGACAAAAATCGCATTTAATTAGATATTTAAAAAATGAGAAGCATTATTCACATATAAAAATATAAAAGATAGTGAATTTCATTAATGTTTTAGTTTCTTTCATATTTGCATTTATACCTGTTATATAAACCAAGAGATCGATATTCTAAAAATAATGTAATAATATTAGAAATAAAACTAAATTATGTGCCCTGACTCTAATCTATGTATTAACAACTTGTCGCTGATACGTTAACAAAAATAAATAGTTGCTTGTGCTCTGCAACAAAATAAAGGTTTTGCAAACTTTTATTTTTACTTATCAATAAATCTAATCACTTGTTTTTTATTTACCCCGATTTAATATTTCGTTCGATATTTTTTTATCCATATTTCTTTTCTTCAACCCTACCGATGAAACGACCCAAAAAAATGACTTAGTCGACGAAATCAATGAATCGGCAAAACTACCCAGTACACTAAAAAAAAAAAAAAAATTCACAAAATAACCATGTCGACAAAAGGACTCATTATGCTTAATTATCATCTGAGGATAATCCTTGTTCATTAATGAGCATTGCTTTATTAAAAGCTAGATCTCCGTTATAAGCTCCCACTCTAATTGTCAGTTTATTAAACAAAAAAAGAATTAAAAATGCAATTTTCAGTTCTAAAATGATTTCTGTATCCAACAATATCGGATTGATGTTTCGTTGATTTATTAATTCAGTATATGTTTCCCCTTGTTTATCTCTTCCTTTACTTGCTATATAAAGATTTGGTTACTGCATTTTTTTATGCCATGCTAATCTATAAAAACCTGTAATAAAATTAAATCAAAACAGTCAAACTCAGAAATAAATATGCTTAAGCGGCAACTTGAATACCAAATGTGCAAGTATTCCATTTCTGTAACGTGATGTCTGCAAAAGGAGTAGGATATTTAAAATTTAAAAAAAAAATGCTTCTTCTCTGGTAATTGCAACATAGGATACTTATTTCGCTTTAGACTAAGTTTTAGAAATTTAGACACGAAAATATTTACTAAATTATGAAGAAAAAGAAATGACGTAAAACCTAACAAACCTAAAAATAGTTTCAGAATTGTGCATGGCAATGAAATAACCCTATCGACGAAATGACAAGTTAATGAAATGTCACTGTCGGCGAAACAACCCTGCCGACAAACAGCTCTGTTGACCTATAGACTTGTCGATAAAATTAACCTGCCGACGAAATGACCCAGTGGATGAAACTACCCTGTCAACGAAATGTCCCTGTCGACGACACAATCATGTGATCGAAACGACCCAGTCGATGGAGCGACAATGTCAACGAAATGACCCTGTCGATGAAACGACAATGTTGAGGAAACGACCCTGTCGACGAAACAACCTTGACGAAGAAACGACCTTTTCAACGAAATGACCCTGTCAACGAAACGATCCTGTCGACGAAATGACCTTGTCGACGAAACAACCCTGTCGACAAAATGGCCTTTCGGCGAAATGACCTAGTCGGTGAAATGATGTGTCGATGAAGTGGTGTCGTTGAAACGACATGTGGAGGAAATGATTGTCGATGAAAGGAACCAGACTAAAAAAAATATGTTTATTCAGAGAGAGTGCGTTTTTGTGTATGATTTCGTAACTAAATTAATAGTTAGCGCTAATTAATTATCATATTTGAGGTCACCCCCAGGAATAATTTAGATTGACAGTTTGTTCGTGAAAATCCGATCATTAGAGCGAAAGTTATTCAGTGTGATATCTTTTTTCTGCCAGCTGTACACAGCCAAGTTGCTTCCTAAATTTTGGAAGTGCGTTATCCCAGTTTTTCAAGCTCAAAGTAAACATTTCTATTCACTGAAAACAAGAAACCTTGGAAAATACTTCTCATTAAACGTTATATAAGCATTTGAAAATCCTATACTGCAGAATCAGCAATCTTAATATTCGCAAAGACACTTTTGATCCAGTTTACAATCAAGTCTTACAAAAGCAGCTTAATCGCTATTTGTTGATTAGTTGTTATCGTGTTTTCACTTGTGGTGACTGTGCCAACAGCACTTCTGATTGAGTTCCATGTTTGTTTTGACTGTGAAGAAATTCGTTAAAACAGTGTCTCATACTAATGAGTCAACAGGAAAAGTGAATCAGCACGATGAAAAATACACGAAACCAGAAAGTCGGTTGGAAATCAAAGACAGAAAGTCGGTTGTTTGGAGCAAGATAGTATTGATAAGTTTGAAGCAGTCACATCGAATACTTGGATAAGTTACCAGGAGCTCGATGTGTCCAAAATTTACAAGACATTTTAGGACCCCAAATCGAGATATTTATTCAGGATACGCAAAAACATACTTTCTCTGAATTAACATACCTTTTTTTTAACGGATTCAAAATATGGGGCTGTAGCCGGGATCTAAAAAATTTAAGTCCAATAGTTAAGGAGCATTCATTAGATTGGATCAGTGTTTCCATTCAAGTTGATGTAGAGGAGCATTTTTCGATTCATGTTAAAGTTTTGATACGTACTATTTAATAAAGTTTAAGAATAATATTTTTCTAAAGTTGTTATTTGGATGGGATTGACTGGTAGATGGTAAATGAATGAAAAAATAGATGGTGGATGGATGCTGCCATTAAAAAAAGTTAAGGCATTGTGGTAAAAGACACATTCAAACAAATGTAAGTTTTTTCTTCTTCTTGTAGTTCAAGAATGTAAAGAGGATTACCATGAATATTGCGTGGGAGACTTTGATCCTGATGACATTGTCATCAGTGGTATGGCAGGCCGGTTTCCTTGCTGTGATAATATAAAGGAACTCAAAGAAGGCCTTTATTCTGGAAAAGAACTTTTACTTTGTGACAATGAAAGAATTCCAATTGGTAAGTTTTAGTTCATAGATTTTCGACCAGGATAACTCACACCGCGATTTCAAATTATTTATTTATTGAATTATAAAATAAATTACGGAACGTAGGCGAATCTCGAAAAACGTAATGGAAAATAATAGTCGATAAAAAAAATTACACAAGTAAATATAATTACGAATTTTTTTTTTAATTACCTACTGATAACATCAAGTTTTGAAAGAATTTCAAATCTTAGTGGTTAATCCGAGGAAGGATTTTTTCTTTTTTTTTTTTTCTAGGACTACCTTTCTTTCTTTTCAAAGAAACATTTGTGTTCGTCAAAAGTAAGTCTTCTTATAAATTAAGGCATTATCAATACTGAATTTTTATTGTTTTAAAATACCAAAAATGAATTCATTTTTTGAGACCAGTTATGTTTAGGAATCGGACAGGCTTGGATAGCTGAGTTTTAGATTTCGAAAAATCCTGTCCCTTCATTCTTTAATTGCTTTAAAGCAAGTATTATTGTGTTCTTCGTGAACTGACTCAGCAAACGACTAATTTCTATGTCTATTTCTGCGATTTTGTAGAAATTTTCAGTATATGTGCTTCAAGTATAGTTGGAAAACGAAATCGTATCACCCTTATAACTTTTGAACTATTAGTTGTATTTTCATTCAGTAAAATGTTATAGCTAAAGCTATACCTCGAATAAATGTCCTACAAATATATATAAAACAATTAATGGTAACCACGGTCAAGTATTCTTATTTTTATTCCGAAACATACCGTTTTACCCACTAAATGGGTTAACCCACTCCGAACAAACCCACTAAAATGGGCCACTTTTTAAAAAGGTGACTTTTATAGTATTACCACCGTAACTGTAGAAAGTTTTTTTTTTAATATTACATTAGGGTGAGCGTTTTTACATTAAAAGGCATTAAATTAAAATAATTTTTTTGAAGAAAGTTATAAATCCGCAATCTAAGGACAAACTTTAAATAATATGAGATATTTAGATAAAATAAATAATTTTCATTAAGTAAATTTTTAGTGATCAAAATATTTTGGAATTGTAAGGTATGAAAATTTTTTATAGATTTGGAATCATCAGATTCTCTTAAAAATCTCAATTCTAATTTTTTATGTTATTTAGTCGATAAAAAATGCTTAAAAAGAATTTAGAAATGAATAATTTCTGAAAAGTTAAAAAAAAAAGTAAAATGGTGCAGCATTTGTGTAGCCAAATAGCATTACTTTAAATTCCACACTATTCGAATTGGCCTCTTGATGAAAATGTTCAATTCTTTTCTTTATTTGTGTAATTAAGAAATTTCCTTTTTTTCTGGAATTTAAAAAAAAATGCAGCTCTGTATTTTATTTTGAAAGTTTGTTTTCTTTAAATTAAGTGATTTAGTGTAAAAATATCGCATCACAATGTGTTTATATCAATTATATAGAGAAAATGTTTCTATTTGAAGACTTTTTAAATATTTTAAGCTCTATAGCGGTGTGGAATGTTTGAAAATACAATTCTTAATGATAAAAGCAATAATATAGAGAATGGCATTTTTACTGGGTGTTTACGTAATTACCAACCTTAACGTCAATTTTTAGATTCCTGGTCAAGACATGCATACAATTGGAATCACAAATCAAAACTAGTGTGGGAAATATAATCATTACAAATTTAATATTAAAAGACCTACAATTGGAATCACAAATCAAAACTAATATGGGAAATATAATCAATACAAACTTAATATTAAAAGACCCACAATTGGAATCACAAATCAAAACTAATATGGGAAATATAATCATTACAAATTTAATATTAAAAGACCTACAATTGGAATCACAAATCAAAACTAATATGGGAAATATAATCATTTCAAATTTAATATTAAAAGACCTACAATTATGACCACCCTCCATCTATAACAATGGGCTCGCCCAGGTTTTCATGGTTTCTAGCCCAGAAACAATGTTTCCATGGGGCACATTAGTACCCATAATCCTCATAGAACAATCCCTGACGTCTGTTAAGCTACTTGAACATAGTTGCAGACCAGGTTCACCCATTCATGGCAACAGTTTTTCCTGCCGGGGATGGTGTTTACCAACAGGATAATGCACCATGTCATAAGGGTCGAATCGTCATGGATTGGTTCGAGGAACATTCCAGTGACTTTCTTGGCCCCCAAATTCACCTGACCTTATTCCAATAGAGCATTTGTGGTCCTGCTTGGAAAACCAAATTCGTGCTGCCGCGCTACCCCCTCGCAATGTGAGGGAATTGAAGGACCAGTTGGTGAGCGCTTGGTAGCAGATACCTCAGACTACCTATCAGCACCTTGTGGAATCAATGCCACGGTGGGTGCTAGCCGTTTTGAGGGCTAAAGGTGGTCCTTCATGTTATTAGCAGGGTGGTCATAATGTAATGGCTCTTCGGTGTAAGTATGCTAGGTAGTTGCTACAGAAAGAAGTAACAAATGACGTTGACAAAAGGTCCAATCAATGGGGTCAAAATCTTCAGTTTGAATAGAAGTAAGGAGTATTTTTATGCCGTTCGGAGATGGGTTGCTTATGTTATTCCAAACTGTTTCTTATTTTTCTCGTATAAATTATTCACAGGTCCATATGAGAATAAAATTGGAGGAACAGGATGTATTAAAAACGTAGATAAATTCGAAGTTGATTTCTTCAGTATGGCACACAATTTAATCAATTCTATGGATCCGGGGAGTAGAAAATTGATGGAAGTAAGTTATGAGGCAATCGCAGATGCTGGTAAGTATATTTTCATTTTAAACTATTACTTCAAACCGTTTAATACTTTTAATTTAGTCAGTAAGCTCCACTATTAAACTAATAGTTTACTTAATTATATTGTTTATCGGTGCGGATTGAGAAAATATTGGTCTAATATCTAAGATATATAATTCTCTTACGTGGCTTCCAAATTTTGGCTGTATTTCTTTTCCGCCGGTGGCAACGTTTGCTTTGTTTTGTTTACGTTACTATTTCTCTTACACGGCGAATCGACCAATGATTGCCGCTAAAAAATGTCACTTGCCAAATCTAACTGAGGTGGCTCAACATATAGCGCTTTTAAAAACGGAAACTGAAATAACCAGAGAGCATCAGCTGCGGCAATCTCATACTATTAAGCTAGGCAGAAGTGAGTAGTCTTTGTCGATAGATCTCTATTTTAGTATTTTGTCGAAAGCGCTTTTTTTTCACGAATTTATATATTACGAATTTATTTGAGGATTTTTGATTTATATCACGAATTATACTACAGCACATTTCTAATAGGTTTAACGAATTACATGTCATTTATTTGAATTCAAGTTTATTTTAATGACGTAGTATTTACTAAAAAGATGTAAATGTTTTTTAAAAAAAAAGTTTCTATATGGATTTGAATGATTGTTTTGAATTCTTAGAATTTTGTGCATTTTCAATGTACCTAAGTTAGTGGTGAGCGAAGCGAGCTTGGTTTGCGAAGCAAAACATATAAGATTGCGAGCAATTTCCGGGGGTTGGCGAGCGGTAGCGAGCAGGGGGCGCAGCCCACTAGTTTAAGATATTTAGGTTAGAAGAGGTTCGATCAAATTAGTCGAAGAATTGGTTTTTGGTAGAGCCTGAAGATTTAATCAATGAAGAAAATAAATATTTAAATCATTCGCATTTCATTCTGCATTCATTCTCAAATCGTCCGCATTTCAGTGATGAATGAAAAAAATATAAGTATATTCCAAAAATGATTTGATAAGTTATCTGATTGTTTATAAGGTTTTACCTTTATTTTGTTGTTGTTTGTTGCTTATAACCTAAATCAAGGTCTTTATTCTAAGGTTATTCCGTGGGTTTTGAATGGAGTTTATATATTCTCGGTTATTTTCCAGGTATTATTTTCGTTTTGTGTAAAATCTATCCTAAAATGTGTTGTAAAAAGTCGCCGCTGCATATTTGTTAGAAATTTTTTTAAGGAAAGCAGATGAAAAGTTGGTAGTTTTCGAATAACAAAAAACAAACAAAAAAAATCCAAATACTTTTCCAAACAATCCTTTTCCTTTGTTTTCTTTAAAAAAAAATTTGTTAGAAATTCTTGAAACACATTTAAAGATAAACTTAATATAAAATGAACATAATATCTGGAAAATTAACCTGGGATATATAAAATCAATTTTTATAAGTTGCATACAAGATTTTATTTATTAATTTTTTCATGCAGACCCACAGAAAAAAATATGATTTTTAAAATTATTTTATTGTTTGCTATTTATCATTTTTTAATGACCATTTCCCCACGGTTTTATAAATCCTGATATTTTTTACAAGAATGAATACTTAGATTTGGCAAAAATATATTGTTTTAAATAGGCTTCTTTTAATGAAATTAGCTACCAGGTTTATGAAAATAGTGCTTTATAGCTGGTTTTTTTTTGTTCGAAAAATAGTTGCCAGAGTCGCCACGATTTTAGTAGCAAATAGTCACCAGTGGAGACCTTGTATTTTTTTACCCTATTTTCTATTCTTAATTTCCATCCTTCATTATGCGGCATGTAAAAGATCCCTGCAGTGCCTTATTGGCTCTTGGCATTTCCGGCAAAATAAATTATTAGTGCACTTTAGCATCCAAATAGAGTCTCTGTGCTGCCATCTAGTGTGGCAGAAACTAGACGTCCAAATTAACTTGTCCAACGGTAACTCACCCATTGTAGTGGTCCTGAAAGAGTGGATACCACCTCTGGAGAACGCACTAGGTCTGCTCATCGGCAAGACCGATTGTGCAGTTCATTGGAAATAAAATTTCCATCCTTCTGATGCTTTTTATCATCACCCCTTCGAATTTCATATTATATTTTAAAGTAGGTGTTGAACAGCGGATCCAATTCAGAGTTTACGATTATCAATGTTCAACTTCGTAACCTTGTAAATCTGAATCCAATTCAGAAGATAAGGGAACTCTTGAATTAAGCATTGGGAGAAACAAGCAATCTTGGACGACTTTTTGATGGAACTATTACGCGTTTGCGTTGAAGGGGGAGGAAAACCTTGGAAACCTTCCATGGTTAGCCACAAGGCAAAATAATTATAACCCATGACCCATCTACCATGAAGGATATTTTATGTTAACACTGGGGTTTAAGTGAACCGAGAGCAGGATTCGTATAAACCAGCCAACGCTGAGATTCGAACTTGAGTCACTTCAATAGGAGGCTCTTTTCCCTTACCCACCATGGCTCACAAGTATGCTAGAACCCCCGACTCGCAAGTACTCTAACCCATGATCCGTCTACCACAGAAGATATTTTACATCAGCAATGTATTCGGTGCAAGTAGGGTGCGGAATTCGTATCGCTGGGATTCGAACCTGGTTTCCCTCATTGGGAGGCAAGCACTCTGTTCCCTGAGCCACCACGTCTTCTTCTGAACTAGTCATTCTAATTTTGGAACATCCTGGCTTTTTTGCCACTGCTGTCTTATCCAAGTGTAGTAAACCACCTTATTTTTTTAAAAATAACATTTTCTACCTCCCCAAGTAAGTTTGATAGTTTATGCTGAAAAGTAAATTACTTTACTTAATTTTGAAGCAATTTGTTCTTATAATTTCAGGATATGATCTTCCAAGTGTTAGTGGTGCAAATATTGGAGTATATGGGGCGAATGTTAATAACGATTCATTTTATATGGCTTTCAAAACAGATTTGGATTTGGAAAAATATAGTTATAACAGATTTTTAAATTCCAACCGCATATCCTATTTCTTCAATTTGCTAGGTAAGTGAAATAAAAACTGTTTTACAAATATTTTTACCATCAAATATAAGTTTATGAATTTTTATAAAGATAAAAAGAATGAGACATCATAAAAATCGCTTAATTGACAATTTATTTTCCTTACTTAAGGAAATTAATAGGATAGAGGATGTTATATGTTATAACGCAAAGTAATTATGAAAAGTGTAAAATGTTTGTTTCAAAATACATTAATTTATTACTCATATCCAGGTAGGGAAGAGTGGGGTCAATTGTAGCATTTTTTACTTAACTATTTTTAACTAACAAAAAATCCAATATATTATCAGTATTAATTGACAGACGAGTAAAGTAAACTATCCTCTACTAGAAAAAAAAGACCTTATTTTAAATGCTATTATATTAGTTATTAACATTTTTTGACAGTCGTGCACTTGTTACAATTGTCCCCACTTACGGGGTCAATTGTAGTAGTTCATTAATTCAACTTATCGAATTTTCATTGAATTAATTCATTAATTCAATGAAAAACATGGTTAATTAAACATATTATCATAGTAGTGATATATTTTTTTATTGATCAAAATAGTAGTGATATTTTAGGAGTAAAAATAATAATGAGCAGAGACCTAAAGGGTTAAGCTTTTAACTTTAAGGGGTTAAAAATTTTAATTTATGCTGTGAAAGGTGACAAATAAAATAATGCACATGCAACATAATATAAATGATATAGGAAACTATTGGTGGTTCTTAAAGAGTTAAGTAATGGTTTGTAAACATAAGATTATTTATTTTCAGCTGTTGCAATCGTCCCCAAGACGCCATTTCAGCTTCATTTGTTAAAAAAAATGCTAGTTAATTAACAAAACTAATCTTTCTTTTTTTTGAAATTTTAATTAAGGTGTCCACTTACATATTCGGTTAATAATTTTTATTTGTTTAAACAAAATTACTTTGTTACAATATAATATTCTAATACCAAAAAAAGTACTTACGTAGCGTGAAAATATCTTTTGTGATGTAACTCTTTCAAAGGAACATAAAAATGGTTGCCAGCAGGGGTGTACATGTAGATTTATTAAATACACCTTGTGCGCCACCTAAGAACCAAATCCAGAACCCGACACTCGAAATTTTTGCTCTATTACAATCGTACCCTGTTACAATTGACCACACTCTCCCCCTACTATTCTTTTTCTGCTAGACAATAATAAAATTTCAAATGAAATTTCATTAATATTTTTAAAATTAAAAAATGAGTTTTAAAGGAATTTTCAATAATTTTAATTTATGGATATCATCGTAATTTATTTATTTAAGACAATCATTATCAAAATTTATCAAAGCAAATATGTCTCAAAGTGCTATTTCTTGTATTTAGTACAATGAAAACAAAGTACTCTGTACACTTTTTGCTCTAATTATTAAATTTTTACTTACTTCACTTATATATTGTATTTTTATCTAAAGATGGTAATAATCAAATGCTTAACTGTAAAAAAGAGGGTACCATCTTATCAGGAAAGTAAACTTTGTCTTTGTACAGTGGTGACCACATCTTGACCATCATGCTGTAAGTCACAAAACTGTGAAGACTTAACTTTCATGATCCATGTGGCCTACCTAATGCTAACCTTTAATTTTTTGCGAAAAAGCGGTATTAGGATTCCCATTTCCACGTATTCAGAATAAAAGTATTTAAAACATTGAAATTCTAAATTTGTCTAAGCATTCTTCTTTGATTGTTTTTTGATTTACGACTGGAATTTTCATTAAAAAAATAAATATCTGCAAGCATTCTTGAAGAATAGGTAAGATGGAGCCACGAAACGTGGCTCTATCTTACCTATTCTTCAAGAATTCTTGAATGAAATAATCTTTTCTTTTTTTTTAATTTGAATGTTTGCCTTTGATTTTCGCAAAAAGAGGTATTAGGATTTCTATACTACCACTTATTTATAATAAACTTCAAAATATTTAAAATATCAAAATTTTGAATTTGTCTAAACATTTTTCCTTGATTTTCTTTACATTTAAGAATGGAATTTTTATTTAAAAAAAATCTGAAAACATTCTTGAAGAATAGGTAGGATAGAGCCCCGAAACTATCTCGATATCTTATTTTTTAATCCAAATTGCTATAATTTTTTCTTTTTAACTTGAATGCTTATCTTTAATTTTTGCGATAAAGAGGTATTAGGATTTCAACTAGCACCTATTTATAATAAACAATAAAATATTAAAAATATCAAAATTCTGAATTTGTCTAAACATCCTTCTTTGATTATCTTTACATTTAAGAAAGGAATTTTTACTTAAAAAAAATCTGAAAGCATTCTTGAAGAATAAGTAAGATAGAACCCCGAAACTACCTCGATATCTAATTTTTTAATCCGAATTTGCTATGATTTACTTTTTCTTTAACTTGAATGCTTATCTTTAATTTCTGGCAAAAGAGGTATTAGGATTTCAACTCGCACCTATTTATAATAAAAAATAAAATATTTAAAATATCAAAATTCTGAATTTGTCTAAGCATTCTTCTTTGATTGTCTTTACATTTAAGAATAGAGCCCTGAAACTATCTCAAAATCAATTTTTTAAAACTATTGTCTTCGAAAATTCTTTTTAAATCAAACAGGCTTCCATCTCTGTGTATCAAGTGAACTTTTTTTTATCTGAAATTTTAAAATTTGCACCCATATCACTCTCAATGTGGAAATATGCAGGTCAGGTTATTTTTTATATTAGAGGAAAATATTTCTTATTGCATCCGGCATAATTAAGTACTTAAATTTTTCACAAACTCTTTTGAGAACCGAAAATTGTTCCGTAGTATCTGTGCTGTATAAAACACATGTGATGTTTACTAAGTAAAAGTGCTGAATCTGCCTTTTTTATATGGATTAGATTTCTTTTAAAAATAAAGAAATAAAAACTTATTTTTTGCGTTTAAAATGTATTTATCGTGCTGTTAAAATGGGGTGCTAAAACGTGCTATATTTCTTAAAATTCATAGGTGATATACACATACACAGTGTGTTACAAAACTATAAGACTACCCCGAATATAGCTCATTTTTTTGTACATTTCTACACTACATAAAATGAATGAAATGAATAATTTTAAAATAGTGAAGCAATTGAAATAAGTTATACTTTCACAAATAAATCAAAAAGTGAAAAAAAATTGAGTTAGTTTCACACTGCTACCAGTTTTTTAAACTCTAGAGGATTCATAAATATAGAACCACTTATTTCTTTTTTTAAAATCTTTTTTCTTTGAAAATCATATGTGAATTGCGATTTTGTATCGCAGAAAATAAATGCAAAAAATAATATTATAAAGAAAATTGGAATTGCCACGTGAAAAAGAATTATCTGATCTAGAAGCTAGAAAAATTTGTCTTTTTAAAAGTTTTAGAAAGTCGGAACGTGAAATACGAACATACTGCTGTTTTTAAGCAAAAGATATTCTTATGGAAAATATATATATATACATATCCGTTGTTGAACAGCGGACCCAATTTTGGGTTTACGACTACTAATGTTCAACTCCGTAGCCTTGTAATTTTGAACCAATCCAGAAGACAAGGGAACTCCTGGATCAGTACCCCAAAGGTATTGACTTGTTATGGGAGCATACAGGACTTTGCGACTCGACAAATTTAACATGCACCAGTCACCATTTACTACACGGGGAGTCTTCAAAGATCGAACCCACGAACTCTTGGACTTGGGCCCAGTGCCCTACCAACCAGGCTATCCCGGCCCTTATGAAAAATATGAAAGATTCGGTAGGAAGTGTAAGTTATCAGTTCGGGTCAATAGATACCCTTTCAAACTTGCAACTTTACTGGCAAAATAACTCAGCAGAGAAGTAGGTACCCCCACACAACAGTCTAGTGCACTTTGAAATCAAATTCAAATGTTGTTCTTCGAAGATTAAGAAAAGACTGCTAAAGCATCTTAAACAAGAGAGGTTGAAGTGGGCAAAAGTGGTCGTGACCTGAGATGCTGCTTAGAAAAATATTATTTTTTCCAACAAAATAAGGAAATTACGGTGATAAACACTACTGGAATGAGAACAGAACTTCGCGATTTCTTCGGTAGGTAGATTGGTGGTGAGTCGGAAATGGTGTGGGGGCTTTTGCCTATGACGGTAAATGCGACATGTAGCGAATTTCTGAAAAAATGGACTCTATTTGTTATCAACAATTACTTTATCAACCCCTTATACCTTTTCGTCCACATCTAAGAGGCTGGATATTTCAGCAAGACAATACGCCATGCCATGTGTCCCAACCAACTAAAAATTGTTTTCAGAAAGCAAAAACACGAGGTTCTAAGCCCGCCAAGCTGTATTCCTGATCTTCATTCTACAGACATGGCTAGACAAGTATATGCAAATAACTACAATATGATTCTATATATGACCTAGAAGTAGTTATCATGAATAAATGGGACAAAATACCTAAAACTTAGCTTGAAAACTTGGTTGAGTCAATGAAAAATCGAGTTATCCAGAAAAATGGGGGATCAACATCCTTTGAGCTTTGTAAAAAAACTTCCTTTAACCTGTACTTACTTGCAGAACTGGCGCATAAGACCTCGAGTCGTTTTCGCCACACACTCTTCTCTTTAACCAGGCAACGCGCTTCATCCCATCCATAATCCTGCTCTACTAAGATCTTCCTCAATGCATCTTTGCTATGTTAATCTCGGTCTCTCTCTTTTTCACTTTCCGTCAAGCATTCACGAGCTTGCAACATTTGCAGGATTGTTTTTTATGTGTTCTGATTGTTTCTATCAGACTCATTTTACCTGTGGTAATCTTACAATTTTCTAACAGATATTTGAGGGGAAAATTTTGATATTGTTGACAAAATATTTGTATTTATCCATATACCTTGAAAATAATATGCATATATTTTGTTTTTTATTACTTAATTTAATTTTGGAAAATTTCTATTACTTGCAATAAAAGTCACGAAAACCAGAGTAGTCTCATAATTTTGTTGCATATTGTATAGGGTAAACCAACCAGTGAAGGAACCTTTCATATATATTGATTAAAAATAAGAATTTGAAAGTTTTTCTTTAGATTGATTGGTAACAATAGCTTACTGCCAAACAATAGGAAGTCATCTAGCAATGTTTTGGATTACCTGGTCAAATAGACTTCTCTGGAAAAATTTGTGAATTTGTTATTATCTCTGCAACACCTTTTTTCTTTGAGAAAATTATAAGCTGAGTATTTGTATTTATATATTTGAAGTGGAATTTATTTTTCTCACTGTGAAAAAGAGAATTCAAAATATAGTTACTGAAGTTAAGTTTTATTTATTTCAAGCATCATAGCATAAGCAAGTACTGAGATAAGGGGGTGTTTATTTACTGGATTACCAAATGATGAAAAACCAGTGAAGGAACAAGTGTTCCTTTACTGGGTTTTTTTCTAAGTTAATGAAAATAAAATATAAACTTTAGTTTCTTGCACCGTTAGTGATGTTCCGCATCAAAAGTATGTTAAAAATACGGAAAACAACCTATAACCAGTGAGGGAACAGGCATGCTCCTTTACTGGGCATAGATTTCCCAGTGAATGAACAGTATGTGTTAATATGTTGACACTTTAATTTTCAATTCATAATTACAAAAAAAAAGTTAACATTTTCCAAGTATTTATATGCTGTAATTTCAAGAATAGGCTTGTTTTTAAATATTTGTATGGCTTATAAATTCATAAGCATTAAAAAATAACCCAAATTAAGTGTTCCTTTACTGGGTGTTCATTCACTGGTAGGAGCTGTTCCTTCTCTTGGTCTTTTTACTACTTGTTATTTGAACCTCCAAAACTTTAAAACAATATTATGAAAGTTCTCTACAATTTTTTTGCATAATTTGCTATTAGTAACAAATATGCTGACACTGTCATTTAACTAAAATTACGAATTTTGAAATTAAAATGATTTTTTAAAAGGCAAGCGAAGCTTAGGTGTTCCTTTACTGGTTAGTTTACTCTATATAAATGGGGATGTTATGTAGGCTGCGTAGTTACCTATGTTTGTAGTACCCTATTACTTTATAACATGATTTTATTGTTAGTTTTTAATGCGTTTTAGGTCCAAGTGCAGTAGAAGACACAGGTTGCTCTTCCTCCTTATCCGCATTTTATTCAGCCTATAAGGCATTACAAAGAGGAGAAATCGATGGAGCAATTGTTAACAGTTCCCAAGTTAACTTATGTCCAGAAATAATTTTTCTTATGAATAAGAATGGTATACTTTCTCCTACGTGTACTTGTAAGCCCTTTGATGAGAGAGGTAAGAGTTAATAGTTATATTTGTGTAATCATACAAAATGGCCAGACTTTAATTATGCAAAAGTGATACCTAATTATCTCAGATTTATCTATTCTAGCATAATAGACTATTATATAAATGATTCCAAGTAACTGAAAAGGAAATATGTATTCGTTTAAAAACTTCCTTGGTTAATTAATACTTTCAAAACAAAATGTAAAGCTCTAATGATATTAAATTAGACCCAAAACTGCTTGACATTATACTGATATAATACAGACGAAAGTTTTCATTATATAAAAAAAATATCACAAATTTTCTATTATTAATTTTTTTTTCAAAAATCATTTTGCTAGAGTACTGAAATTTAGGAAAGATTTTAAATCTTCAAACCTCTCTATATTTCAACTGAGTATCAATTGTTATGAGTTTCTTATAAGAAAAGTTTAAATAGGATTATTTAAAATATTAACAAAAATCGATTTAATTTAATTATTATCCCCTGAAGAAAATATGATTTTATTTCATCTCGAATATTTGGAAGTCTCTTCTTTCCGTTTATTATTTTTATTATTAATAATGTCAAATTTTGCTTTAATTTTAACTTCTGAATTTAAAACAATTATAAGCCTATATTCAAACTTTTAATTAAAAATTTTTCAGAATTTTAGATTTTTTTGCTATGAATTTATTTTTTTCACTGAAATTTTCTTAAATTTGTCTGTTTCGAGAAAAATTTAGAACAAACAATATGTAGTCACGATTGAAAATTTATTCAGATAATTATTTTATGTAAATTGAATTGATATTAATGTTGATATAAATATATTGTGTTATGGTGCGTTGCCCAGCAAAGAAAATAAGTTTAAGAAATAACGCCCACACTTAATATATGAAATATTTTGTTATTTTTAATTTTTTTTGTCTAAAATAGTTTTAAATCTTTTCAGTGTAAAATAGTTTTAAATCTTTTCGGTCTAAAATAGTTTTAAATTTTTTTCAGTTTATTTTTTTTAGATTTGTCTGATTCGAGATAAATTCAGAACTAACAATTTGTAGGCATGATTAAATTTTCAATCGGGAATTATTTATTCTTGATTTATTATTTCTATTGAAATTTATCCTGAATAAAAAGAAATGAGGAGCAATTATGGGTTAATGAGGCGATGGTGAGGAGCAGAGAACGGAACTTCTTAATCCAAGAAAAAAAAATTAATATAATTTTTTGCTCACTCAATTCAAATGACGAAAACTTTGAGTGTATGCATAAGAAGTGGATTCACGCTTGCAAATACTTTTGCTTGTTTATTTTTTTTATTTTTTCTTCCTTTTAGCTAATGGGATTGTTAGAAGTGATGCAGTTGTTGCTATTTTTTTGCAAAAAGCTTGTACAGCTAGACGAGCTTATGCATCTGTTCTTTCCTCTGCATTTTTTACATCTGGTTTTGTGCAAGAAGGTAATTAAAACTTTGATACATAAAATGAAACTTAATATATCAATATTGCAGCGAAATTTACCAATACTTCCGCATTTTATCTATATTTTTAATGAGCTTAATATCTACGTTTTTCCCACCTTATTTGTAATTTCTAATAGCTTATGATGTTGATGAATCTTCCGAATATGTCGTTGATTTTCAGCTAAAGTTTTGATAGTTTTAAATTAATTTAATTAATATTTTTAGATTCTTTGCAGAAAAGAAAATAAAAAAAATCATACGAATTAGGTCAAAGTATGCAAACTATTAAATAATCAGAGATGAACGCGCAGGAACTCTATCAAATCAATGGCAAGATTAAAACAAAGTCAGCTTGATTACGTGATGAAACTTGAAGTTATTTCAATTAATTGTTTTTCATCTCCTCACTGTTTCCTCCAATTTTCAAAGTATGTTACAAAGATGAGGACAGAACCGACAGAACCGATTTCAAATGCATTATGTTTCATGTGTAAGAGGCGTTTATAAAGATCTCGTTATAAGCACTGTTCATGCTAATGTATGTCGAATTCCGTCATAGAACACAGTTGTTTTATTCACTATGTTTCGTTTTCTCATTTTCATGTATGAAAATAGTAAATAGCACTTAAATTTTTCACAGTTTGGACTAGCTATAGCACTCAAATCTTCATTAAAGCCCTTTACTTGATAACAATATATGTTTTAAAATGTTGCCAGACAGTTAAAGCAAAACTTATTTCCAAATAGAATTTGTGGTCAATCGAAATTTAAAAAAAACTTTCCCAGCAGCTATTTATATTTTGCTAAAAAACTGCGACAAATTACATTACAAGTTATAAAAATTTGAAAATGCTATAGCACTCAAATCTTCACTAAAGCCCTTTACTTGATAACAATATATGTTTTAAAAATGTTTCCAGACAGTTAAGGCAAAACTTATTTCCAAATAGAATTTGTGGTCAATCGAAATTTAAAAAAAACTTTCCCAGCAGCTATTTATATTTTGCTTAAAAACTGCGACAGATTACATTACAAGTTATAAAAATTTGAAAATGCTATAGCACTCAAATCTTCATTAAAGCCCTTTACTTGATAACAGTATATGTTTTAAAAATGTTTCCAGACAGTTAAAGCAAAACTTATTTCCGAATAGAATTTGCGGTCAATCGAAGTTTTAAACAAACTTTCCCAGCAGCTATTTATATTTTGCTTAGAAACTGCGACAGATTACATTACAAGTTATAAAATTTTGAAAATGCTGTTTTTGCAACATAGAAGTTTGCACAAAATTTATCTCTTTTTTTTACCACATAATTGGACTAAGAAACACAAAATTGAAAAAATAAAAAACAATAAATTAATTAAAAAAACTGGAAAAGGATTAAAAAGGAGAAAATAATTCTATTTTTGTCAAACCTAGTACAAAAAATAACGGCACATCACTTTCGTATTAACATATCTCCATCTAAAGATGAATTTTTTTTTTCTTCAACGATTTCGAGTTTTTGACTTTATGTAGGGGGTAACTTCAATCAGGAAAATATCGCTGGTTCAAAGTTAAAACAACACTTCTGCACTCACTTCTAATGTTATTTGAATGAGAAGTGAGTGCAGAAGTGTCGTTTTAACTTTGAACCAGCGATATGGTACCAATATTAGCAGTGTCGTCGAAAATTTGGTCTACTTATTTTTCACTCTGCATATTTAGCCATAACTCGGAAAATTCTAAAGCAAATCAAAGAATTTTTCGCACACAATTTTAAATTTAATTTTAGTAATTGGATGTAAAAAATAATTTTAATAACAAAATATAATTTTTACAATGATAATAAAAAAATACCATTTCTATTTTATTGGTATTTCATTTGAAATAATAATATAAATTCAAACGAAAGTGTAGAAAGTATTCTATTGAATGGCAAAAAAGAGGATTGCCACATGATTTGGCTTTTTGAAAAATTCACTCCATGCTAAATTGGTCAGCTCATATCAGCAGAAATACCTGATGTCACCATTAATCAGACTTATTTCAGATCATCAACCAAAATATGTTTCATGGTCCGGGTGCATCACCATACATGTCTGTTTGAAAATGCACTAACGATATCCTAGAGAATTAACTGCTGAGACTATCACTGGTTTTTTCACCATTAAATAAAATTCTCATTTCAAATCATAATCGCAAATCTCATTTACACACTTAAATACAAAATTAAAATTCAAACTGAAAGCGTTGCAACGCACGTAGGGCACAGCTAGTTAAATATATTTTTAATTTAAAAACTGCTGTTTTCCCAGCAAAATGTTTAAAAAAGAACAAACTATTCATTCAAAAAGAGAAATATCACAAAAATTATGAAATATTTAATATTAAAAAAATGCACATAAAGATTGCGTAGTAAACATTTTTGTCATACGATCGGCAAATAGCAATCTTGTTCAGGATTGTTCACATTCTTCTTCCAAAAGTAGCAAAATATAGTATAGCCGGATACCACGTGATGAAGGCGAAGCCAAGTGCCAACTCCTGGTGAACGAACTATACATTACGAATATATACTAAATTTTAAATTGAAACGGTAAAAGCAAAATATATATGTGGCTCATAGAAAAAATTTAAATTTTTTACTTGAACAAAACTAGTTTGAAGGTTAAGTACCTCTGGACTGTACCAAAGAGCACCTCAAGCTATATATATAGTTATTTTTAAAAGCTATTTTATAAGGAGAGGACATGACTTAGAAAATTCAGCATAAGATGGAATTTGGCCTGTTTACCCCTTAAAATAATAGAGCATAATTAATTTCGAGAAAAACGCAATTGAAAATATAAGCGTACTTTATATACTTGTTTCTTCATCTCAATAACGAGGCAGCTCAATAACCTGCCTAACAACAAGAAATTTGGGGGATCAAATCATGCAGTAAACTGTTTCTTATTCCTTTTTTTTAATAAAGACTTTTCTTTCTTGTTTACAAACAGTTAAAATGTAATTTTATTAAATTTTAGTGTATTTTTTAAATTATTAGATATTTCTTGATATTTAAACTACAGTAACAATTGAATCATTCAATAAAAGTATGATGTTTGTAAATAATGCTTACGATAGTTAAATTGGTTTTTATTAATTGAATTTATTACATCATTTGCCAAAGTAGAGTTAACCAATATATGGGTGATTCTCACGAAACATGACAATTCGGACCAAAACATTTTTTTAAATTTAAAGTCTTCAAAATAATCTAAAATTTTTTTTGCATACTTCTTTAGCTACACTTATTAATATCTTATAGACAGCAGTGTAGTTTATTGACATTTGCTCAAAAAAAAAATAAAAGAGAAATTCACCAAATCTTGAATGCCAGGAAAATGACATATTACCTTAGACGTTTTAAAAACAGTCATTTTAAGTTAATAGTAAGTAACTCAACTTAAGCCTTTATGTTAGATGAACCATAAATTGCTTAAATTATTTCTTTTTATCCACTGCAGAAGGAAACAAAAGCTTTTTTGTTGCTGATATGTACAGAATAAAATTGTGTATAATAATCAATCATTAAATAAATAAATAACTTNCAAGAACTCTATCAAATCAATGGCAAGATTAAAACAAAGCCAGCTTGATTACGTGATGAAACTTGAAGTTATTTCAATTAATTGTTTTTCATCTCCTCACTGCTTCCTCCAATTTTCAAAGTATGTTACGAAGATGAGGACAGAACCGACTCAACCAACTTGAAATGCATTATGTTTTACGTGTAAGAGGTGTTTATAAAGATCTGGTTATAAGCACTGTTCATGCTGAGGTATGTCGAATTCTGTCATAGAACATAGTTGTTTTATTCACTATTGCCACGGGGGGGGGGACCACATAGTGGAGAGAGAAGAATAATGATCGCCAGGTTCCAAACTTTTCATCAGGTGCTCCTTAACGATGTGGCGCAAAAAAGACTTTACCTAAGGTTGATCTCCTGATCAGGAACTTATACTATACTCGGTGAAGACATCTCACGGGACAGCATGGCTAAGTGATTCACAGGAAACAATGAACAATATCTTATCCTTTCTTTATTTCGTCGGGAATCAAAGTTTAAACATAATAAGAGTTCATGACAAGTATATCAATTAAAATTCCAACACGTCCACGTGTCGAGTCCTCCCTGTGTGCTTCAGGGAGTAAAATATTAAATTTATGTAATCAGCATATTTGAGACATCTGCAGTTAAAATTTACGAAATAGATTATTAGCAATTTGTTGAATTTATGGAATTGAAAAAGTAGAATTATATATGAATTATTACGAACTTGAAGCACACAGGGGGGAAATCAAAAACGCCACTCAAAAAGAGGAAGCAGCAACACACTTGAGAGTTCCACGGGGAATACTGGTCTATCTCCAAAAGATAGCGTCCCCTCCTTAACAGTTGCAAGAATCTCTAAAGACGAGCTAGGAGTCGAGCCCTAGAGATCCTGCAAAGGCAAGGAAGAGGGCGCTCCTGTTGGAGACAGCCCAGTACGTATTGGGAAAAGTAAACATTGTGGTGATCCCATGATCACACCACAACTATGTTTCGTTTTCTAACTTTCGTGTATGAGAATAGTAAATAGCACTTAAAATTTTCACAGTTTGGACTAGCTATAGTACCCTTTACTTGATAACAATATATGTTTTAAAATTTTTTCATTGCAGTTAAAGCAAAACTTATTTCCGAATAGAATTTGTGGTCAATCGAAATTTTAAAAAAACTTTCCCAGCAGCTATTTATATTTTGCTTAAAAACTGCAACAGGTTACATTACAAGTTTAAAATTTTTAAAATGCTGTTTTTGCAACATAGAAGTTTGCACAAAATTTATCTCTTTTTTTTTACCACATAATTGGACTAAGAAAGACAAAACTGAAAAAATAAAAAACAATAAATTAATTAAAAAAAACTGGAAAAGGATTAAAAAGGAGAAAATAATTCTATTTTTGTCATACCTAGAACAAAAATTAACGGCACATCACTTTCGTATTAACATATCTCCATCTAAAGATGAAATTTTTTTTTCTTCAGCGATTTCGGGATTTTGACTTTATGTAGGGGGTAACTTCAATTAGGAAAATATCGCTGGTTCAAAGTTAAAACGACACTTCTGCACTCACTTCTAATGTTATTTGAATGAGAAGTGAGTGCAGAAGTGTCGTTTTAACTTTGAACCAGCGATATGGTACCAATATTAGCAGTGCCGTCGAAAATTTGGTCCCTGCCTCCTTATTTTTCTCTCTGCATATTTAGCCATAACTTGGAAAATTCTAAAGCGAATCGAAGAATTTTTCGCACACAATTTTAAATTTAATTTTAGTAATTTGATGTAAAAAATAATTTTAATAATAAAATATAATTTTACTAGTACCAACATTCTAAATTTCATTTCAAAGCAAATTTGTCGAGCCGTTCTTTCTTCTTGTTAGTGTAATTATTTACTTTGCTGCATGCATTGCAATAGACTAAAAGTCGACAACGCTTAGGGTACTTTAAGTACTTTAAAGGTACTATTATACTATCATATTTAAAGGGTTCTAGTACTAATATTCCAAATTTCATTTCAAAGTAAATTTGCCGAGCTGTTCTTCTTCTTGTTTGTGTAGTGTAATTATTTACTTTACATCATGCATTACAATAGACTAAAAGTTGACAACATTTTTTAGGATTAGGTGCGCCCTCTCATAAAATGCAAGAATATCTCAACAGGCACGCATTGCAATCAGCTAGATTACATCCCGATCAAGTTAATTACATTGAAGCACATGGCACGGGTACAGCAGTAGGGGATCGTATAGAGCTTACAGCTATAGAAAGTGTTTACTGTACGAGTACCAGAAAAAAACCCATTTATGTCGGCTCGGTGAAAAGTAATATCGGCCACACTGAAGCATCCTCTGGTAAGTATTTACTTATCCTTAGCTCCCAAAAAATAAAGCAGTATGATTTGAACAGTCATATCTTGCGCAATTTGGAGCGAATTTTTTTCTCCAAGTTCTAAAACAATAATTTTATTTTGTGTTATTATTTCTTAATTAAAAATTTTGCTTAATTTTATTGGATATTTTTAAAATTATAAAAAAAAAAAATAAGAATTTTTATTTTTATTTTTTATAAAAGTGTCTGAATCTCCATGAATATTTAAGCCAGGTTTATGAAATTTTGTGCAGTTATTGCAAATAGCAACCAAAGCAATCGGTATAAGTTACAAGCTTATTATTTGATTTTCTGGCATAGAGTCTTTAAAAGTATTTGTTTTCTTTCGTAATGTATTGTCAGTCCCTGAAACCTCTAAAAGTTTTAAACCTTATTGCTAAGTATGAAAAATTGCATGAAATAGTTACAAAAAAAAAAATAGTGCGTGGAGTCCCTCCGCGCGGAAGAAGTTAAACTTCGCAACCTGCGACGTTAATTGTAGAAAAATCAGCAGTCGTAAAGGATCACTAGTTCTAGTCAACGACTCTTTTTCCTGCTCCGCTCGCTTCCGTACTCTGTAATCACGGTAATATTGTGCATTTTTCCCTCGTCGACCTCTTGAACCAGTGTAAGTGCTTGTGGTTGCTTCATCGTTTCGCCCTGGAAAATGCATTTGTATTAATAATGTATGTGAATGCGTCATAATACAATTTCAGAAGAGAAAACCTAACAATCAATTGATATTCACAAGAGACGTATCTTGACGTAACCTTAAATCCGTCGCATTGTCCGTGGGATTGTTTTCACTCATTTTTTACAATTGTTATCCACTAAATTTGAAAATAAAAAATACTA